TACAATTATGCATATAAATATATAAGTATAATTATATAGACATGTAAATATAATTATATAGATGTAAATATGAATATTTACAAACATATTTAAATATATATATATATAAATATGAAAATATAAATATATATGAATTTATATATATAAATATAAAAACATAAATATATATAGATTTACATATATAAATATACATATATATATATATATATATATATATATATATATATATATATGTATGTATATATAAATGTATATATAATATACATTTATATGTGTATAAATAAATATATATAAATGTATAAATATAAATATACATTCATGAATATACACATAAATCTATATGTACAATTATATGACTATAAATTTAAATATAAATATATATATATATATATATATATATATGTATTTATAAATATGTAATATATCTATAAATATGTGTTTATATATATATATGTATATATGAATATAGAAATATATACGTTTTTCAGGTACTAACAGTATATATGTATATATATATATATATTTAAATGTATATGTATATGTAAATATATATATATATATATAAATGTATATGTATATGTAAATATATATACATATATATATATATAAACATATATGTATAAATATGTATATGTATAAGCATATATCTGTATATATATATGTATATATGTAAATGTATATATATACATATATATATACATATATATATATATATATATATATATATATATACATACATATGTATATATTATATACGTATGTGTATATTTAGATATGCAAAAATATGTATATATACATAAATATATATACACATATATATATATATATATATATATATATATATAATATAATATAATTTATAATATATATATATATAAATGTGTATATGTATAGATGTTCAAATATTTATATATTTATATGTAAATATATATATATATATATATATATATATATATATATATATACATATATGTATGTATGTATAAGCATATATATATATAAATTTAAATATATATATATTATATATATATATATATTTAAATGAATATATATATACATATATATACCTTTATCATATATATATATATATATATATATATCTTCATCATATATATATATATATATATATATATATATATATATATACATTTTTATGTATATATATTTATATAAAATTTATATATAATAAATATATATATATAAATGTATATATATATAATTTCTATATAAATTCATATAAATATATATATATATATATATATATATATAAATGTATATATATTTTGAATATATATATACATATACATATATATGTATATATATATTATATTTATATATATATATATATATTATATATATATATATATATATATATATGAATATATATATATATTTATATATATGTATATATATATATAGATATACATAAATATAATTGATATACATATATATAATTGATTATATATATAGATATTTAGAAATACATATAAATACACAAATATATTTATATAAAGATATTTAGAATAAAGATATTTATATATAAACACATATTTAAATATGTTTATACATATATATTCATATATATGTCCATATATATAAATATATATATATATATATATATATATATATATATATATATATATATATGAATATATAAGTATAGAATATATATATATATATATAATTATGTATATAAATATTTATATATATATATATATATATATATATATATACATATGTATATATATATATATTCATACAAACATATATATATACATATATATATCTGTAAAACTATTTTTAAAAGAAATTTGTGTGTGTGTTATGTATTAACATACACACACACACACACATATATATATATGGGTGTATATATATATTGTGTATATATAATTATATATATACATATATATAAATATACATATTTGAATATTTACATAAATGTAAATATATACATATATGAATGTATTTATATAATATATATATATATATATATATATATATATATATATATATATAAAGAGAGAGGGAGAGAGATAGATATAAATATATATATAAATAATTATATATATAGAGAGAGATAGATATAAATATATATATATAGAAATATGTATATATAGAGATATTGATATATGTATATAAATATATACATATATATATATAGAAATGTATATAAATATATATATATATATATATATATATATATATATATATAATATGATAATATATATGTAGATAGATAGATATATATAAATATATTCACAAATATTTATATACATATATAAATACATATATATGTAAGTATATATATAAATATACATATATATATGTATATATATATATATATATACATTTATATATATAAATGTACATATAAATATATATATATATATATATATATATATATATATATATATACATTTATATATATAATGTACATATAATATATATATATATATATATATATATATATATATATATATATATATTCATCTATATATATATATACATATATATATATATAATATATATATGTATGAAAATATATATATTATATAATTATTTTTATGTATTTATAAGTATATATATATAAAGATATATATATATATAAATATATATGTATAAGTAAAAATGTAGGTATATATAAATAAATATATATATATTTATTTACATATATAAATATATATATACATAAATATATAAATTATGTTATGTTATGTTATATATATATAGATATACATATATGTATATATTCATATATAAATAAATATATATATATAGAAAAAGATAAAGAATATATGTATGTATTATATGAAATATATATATATAATGTAAATAGATGTATAAATATATGTAAATACACATATATATGAATATATTAATATATATGTATATATGTATATGTGTATTTATATTATTGTTCCTTTTCTCGCTTAAGTATTTTTTGCTTGCATGTCGTTTTGCAATGTCTGTATTTGTCCTTTGATAGGGTATATTGAGGTGGTAATAGATACTTTTCCTTGCAGACTCCACATCATAACCTGTTATGTCTTCTTTCCGTTATGCCTGTCATGGTAGGGCATGAGTAGGATCTTGTGCATATCTTTAGCATCCCCAGTGGAACGATTGCTCTCCCAGCTACGTCTCACGGATCGAACAGCACAACCTTGTCACTGGATGTTCTATATTCTCTCGCACGCTTTCTCTCTCTTAGGCCACATAGGTCGACCAAGAGAGCCAACTGCGCGGAAACACATTGATGACGGCCAATGACCCCTGTCGAATAATATTTATAATGATATAATCATTATAAGCAAATAATATAATAATAAATGAATAATAATAATGATAATAATGTAATGATAAGCGTATAATATTAATAGTAATATATTAATACGCGAATGATAATCTATATAATTACACCTGGCTATTAACCCAATGGCGCCGGGTGTACAAAACAAAAAAAAACTCTACGCTTAAACAAAGGCGGCGCGCCGAATTTGAACACGTGAGTAGGGGACATCAGCCCGAATCACTGGCTCGGCGCGCTTTGGCGCGCCACCGGCTCGTTTGGCTGCACGCCAGATTTTGAGCGCTTTGTTTACACGCCAATCGGCGTCACCCGGCACCAAGGGGTTAATATTGGAATAAATAAGCGAATGATATCAATTTACGCGATTTCTCTCTCTTTCCCTTTATAATTATATATATATATATATTTATTATTGAGCACATTTTTTTCCCTAAAAAGTTGTCATAGCCGTTTAATCATGACAACTAGAATGACAATCAGCGTGATGGATATCACCATTTTTCAGGGAGAAGCTGACACTGCGATAATCCTGGACTCGAAGCTGCATTACTGTGCAAGGACACCCATGCGTGGTCGATAAGCAGTCTGAAGGTAAGCGTTATTATAAGCTTTAGTAGTAGTAGTAGTATAAGCATTATTATTATTATTATATATAATACATATATTATATATACGTACATATATATATATATATACATATATATATGTGTGTGTGTGCATAGATATAAATATATAGATATATAGAGATACGTAGATAGATAGATATCCATCTATCAGTCTGTAGAACTGTTAATTTTATATACATATGAACATGAATACTCTATCTTGATATATAACGAAATACCCTATGTTGAGATATATATGTTTATATATACATATGCTTCAAATGTATTTGTATCACCATACTGCATATTCATAGGTATATATGTGTGTGTGTATTTATAGATACCTATTCATCTGTTAATCTCATCTCTCATACATCTCTCTCTCTCTCATTTTCTCTCTCTTTTACTCCTCTCTTATTCTCTCACTCTCTCTCTCACTCTCACTTACATTGTGTGGTGCAGCGGTAGCGATCTCGTTTAGCAATCTTGCTGATCTGATCCCTCGCCACCAGTGGATGGTAACCCCAGCCATTCCTTGTACACTGGGGATAATTTAGAAGCAAAATAAAACAGACAGTATGTCACACCAAGAATATCCATTGTAACAAAAGCAATCAAACTAGATTATTAATTATTATTATTAATTATTATCACTCATCCCTCTCTCTTATTCTCTCTTTCTCTATTTTATTTATATACAATACACTTTACAATACAATACGCTTTACAATACAATGCACTTTACAATACAATACACTTTACAACAATACACTTTACAATACAATGCACTTTACAATACAATACTTTACAACAATACACTGTACTACAGCACTTTCACAATACAAAAGAAAAACCATACTATTAAAAAAAGGAGAAATCAGAGAGGTTTACTTATAAGCAATAGTACTTACATCCTGCAGTAGTGAATAAAGAAAAGAAAAAAAGAAAATTCAAAATTATTATAGCCTGTATTTAAAACAAAAGCTCATAGAATTTATATGGGGAAAGAAGAATTCTGTGAAAAAATATTATACCCTCCTTCTGAATAGTTGATTAAAAACATGATATGCATTCACACACACACATATTTATGTATCTTTATATATATATATATATATATATATATATATGCATGTAATTCATGTATATATATATTTATATATATATATGTGTGTGTAGATGGATTCCAGTTGACGTCACATTTTTCCCTACTGCGGCGGCGTTGTTGGCCTAACAGGAAACTGTCGGAAAACAATAATTATTTTGATCAACTGATCCTCGCTGAAAGTACATCTTCGTTTTTATTTTTCATTTCGTATTCTATGCAATGTTTTCCAGTTCAAAGTCTTACGCAGCATTGTCAGAAGATCAGAAATGGTATAAATCTAAGCTTACACTCATACACAGATGGACATACGCTCCCTGATCCGTACATGTTCTAAGACGAATGGAAGAACGATGTTATTTTGATGCCTTTGTTGATTACAATTATTTGACAAATACTCTAAGATCTTTCTCGAATAAATCGCTTAATGCATACAAGTCTCTGGAAGCCTACAATTTTTTCATTTGTGGGCATGTTCAAGACATATTTTACCATGGAATCGACAAAAGCAGTAATTTCTGTTTCATTAAGTCTGAGGCACAGTCAATATTTTTTTGTTTTAGTTTATCGAAACTTTACCAACAGCAATTCAATTATTCAGAACAGAAAATTACAACATTTTTAAACTGGAAGTAACTTAATTCTGAAATTTTAATTCACTCTTGCATAGGTGAATGCCTTTTACTTACCTGATATAAATTGAGCACTGCAAATGTGTGCGTTGTCAATTTTCTTTGAGCTCCAGTTCTCACGTCTGATGGCAGCTATCCATTTTTTTCGTAACGCAAGGGACTGTTCATTGTTTCCAAATGGAATCCGATAAAAACTCAAATTGCCACCAGATTTTCTTCGATTCGTACAACCAACGGCACAGAACGAGTCGAGCATGAGCATGTTTGTGGTCTGTCAGAGAGAGTCTTGCCTGCCAGCAATTGCGCATGCGCTAATTTCAGCGCTCAAATGTAAACATGGAATTCATCTATATATATATATATACATGAATATATATACGTGAATACATATATACATATATACATGAATATATATTTATATATACATATACATATTTATCTATATAAACACAATATGTACACATACACATTGTGTATCTGTGTATATATATATTATCAGTATTATCAATTTTGTCAATCTTATCTGTTATTATTATTATTATTGATATTGTTTTGCTATTATTATTATTTTATTATTTTTATTATTATGGTAAGCCATATAAAGAGCAACACTGAAAAGTTTGAGAATTCAACCCCCAAAGGCATCAGTGCAGGTCAGAACACACTGCCAGGAAAGAAAGAGAGGACAGAAGACCAGAAAGACCAAACACAGAAGGCCAAAAGGAAGACAGAAGAAAAGACAAGGAAAAAAAAGAAGAGACAAAAGACAAAAAGAAGAAACAGAAGACCGTCGCCTATTCACGTAGTAGAAACATTTTACAGCCTCTGAAGGCTATTTATTCCAAAGCCTACAAATGACAGTAAAAAAAAAAAACATCTAGAGAACTGAGAAGTCGACGATCGACTTGCATTGGATTGAAGGGCGTAGAAATTCTTTTAGGTTACGCGGGTTGATAGAATTGATCTTGCACAAGACCGAGAGAGCCCCAATACCCCTATGGTGCCCAGTGTCCAAATTTAAGTCAAATAGGAGGAGAAATGTAATGGGATTTAAGGAACGATTAAGCAATAGTATGACTGTAACGAGCACAAGGGATGTGAATTTAGAATGACCCAAAATTCGTCTAGAAACCCCCCTGTATACACCTCACTTAGTCTTTATGCATATATATTATTTAAGTATACCTCAGTTTTTTAGCTTTAATTATTTGAGAAAAAGGTACTTTATTATTTTCCTAGAAAGATGATATTTTATTTTAATAGTTTTACAGGAAATTCTATATATTTCAATATTATATTTTTCTAAGATAAGAAAATTGTAAAATATGATAGTCTACCCTACAAAGTATAAGCTTTTTTGTTACCCCCACCATACATTCTCTTTATTTAAAGGGTACGCTATTATATTTCAATAGTATTATTATATTAAGGTTGTATAAATGATATTTTTGTAAAGAAAACCATATATATTATTTTTGTTAATGGAAGGATTCATTTAAGTTCTGAAAATTATGCATGTATAGATTAAGAAGGACTGTATAAGTGTAATATATGTGATCTGAGTAGACTTTAAAATTCAAAGTATATACAGTGCTAAATCCTGAAAACATAGCTATAATCATAGAGAGAGATCGAGATCAGAGAGGAGTGCCATACAGCAGCCTGAAAGAGTATTTGATTATCGTGAAATATCTGAGGTAAGAAAGAACATTCCACTATAATAATATAATTAATAAAGTCATGAACTACTGTACAATTGATTTACAGAAGAAAAGAAAGTAACTATTTGAGATTAAACTGTAAATTAGAGATAAAGAGTATATCTTCTTCACAGCTCGAGGCTGGCACATGGCACATGGCTCTTGAATAACATCCGATGTGTCTCTCTTGTTTATAAGAATTTAAAACCCATTCAAAGAGTGTTCTTGGCATTCATAATTGTATAATATTATAATGATATTTAATCAAATATTACGATAATATATTACTCAGATCGTATATGATAACATAAATATTATATATAATTTGTTTGTTTGTAAGAAATATTGTTTTTCATCTTACAAGAACTGATTTACTTACATTTAATAACTTTATATTGTTTATCATTCCTAAACTAGAATTTTGTTTCTTTTCTAGGAGTGGGTTTTTTTTTTTTTTTTGCTTTGTTTTGTTTTGTTTTGTTTTATTTTTTATGGTTTGTTTGGTTCTTCTGAAGTTGTGATTTATGCGTCCCTGGGGCTGTGAACAAGTAAGAAAGAGCCCAGGACATTGATGAAGACAAGGAAAGAAGACACCTGAGAAGAACCAGAAGAATAAAAGTGACAGGTTGGAATACAACCATTTGGGACATTTATTTTTGTAGATGAAAGTTTATTTTACTGTAGATGTGTAATGATATTTAACTCAATATATCAACAACAAGTGTAAACTTATTAAGTGGTTTGATATTATCCCCTTCTCTCAGTTACCTCTAAGGCTGAAATTAGATCATAAGTAACCTGTATGAATATATATATTTTAGTGTGGGTTCTAAAGAGTACTTTTGGAGAAACCACACACTTGTAATAACAGATAGTGCCCCTCTGGATAAAGTCTGAGTGGTTCCCAGAGCAAAGAGTAGTAATAAGGTCTTTGCTAAGGAGCATAGAAAAGGGAGGGCGCAATATATGACTCTTGTATATAATATGTATATATATAGTATATATATGGATATATATGTGTATATATATTATATACACATGCATATATATATACAAATTTGTATACATACACATATACATATATGCATACACATATATCCATATATACATATATACATACACATAAAAATAATTAGTTTATATATTTGTATATATTCATATATATATATACACACACACACACGTTTATATATTTATATATATGCACATATATATATATATGCAGGTATGAATTTTTGTGTGTGTGTAAATAAATAAATATGTATATATATATATGTGTGTGTGCGTGTGTGTGTGTGTGTCTGTGTGTGAATATATATGCACATATGCATACATATATATGTTTATACACAAATGTGTATATATATGTATTTATACAAATTTATATATATATGTATGTATTTATACATATATTATATTTATATATGTATATATATACCGACACGCACACACACACACACACACACACACACACACACACACATGCATGCACGCAATCACTCACAAACACATATACATGCATACATATATGGATACATAACATACATATATAATATATATATGTATATATGTACATATGTATTTATACATACTTATATAAATATGTTTTTATGGTTGTTTGCATCTGTCACAGAGTTGTCACGAAGTGTAAGGAGTGTGGACACTCGCATTCTTGCTGCAGGAAGTTAATAAGTAAATAAGGAAATCTTTAAATAAGTAAGGAGGAACTAATTAAGTGAACAAGGAAATAAGTAAATAAGTAGATAAAGAAATAAAGAAATAAGGAAACAAGGAAATGAGTAAACATGTAAATAAGTATATAAGAGTAGATAAGTAAATAAGTAGATAAATAAAAAGATAAGGAGGAACTTGCTGCTGGAAGTAAATAAGTAAATAAATGAGTAGATAAGTAAATAAGGAGATAAGGAGGATAATCCACCGGTTCTCGCCACACTAGACTTTCTGTTGTTGTGTCTGTCCCTTTAAGCAACACTGGTATGTTATGTTTATGTTACATTATGTTAAGTGGTATGTTATATTACGTTATGCATTATGTTATGTTATGTAGCGGTTAGTAAGTCAGTAATAGCATATGTATAAATAATAGTATAAGTCTTACTATTAATAATAATATAAGCATGGGATTTATACCCATAGGAAGACAGAGAGTTAAGGAACTGTCTGTCTGTCTCGCTTCTATCTGTATGTCTCGCTTCTAACTGTATGTCTCCCTTCTGTCTGCCTCGCGATATTAAAAATTCAAATTATATGTAGTCTGATAAACTTTCTTTATTTTCACTTGTATATTAATATTATAGAAAAAAAAACATGTGTATGCTTACTCACTGTAGATCCTGATTTATTTGATTGATAGTGATGAAATCAGTGTTATTTTCAAGTATTTTAAATATTTTTTAAATCTACTTATTTTATTTCATTCTAGCATTTAAATCTACTTACTTATTTACTTACCTTGTTTATTTATTAACTTAAATCATTAAATTTTGGACACGTATGGAGATGAATTCACTTTTGGCCTCTGGTCTTATTTGTATTTGAATTGATTACCTTATGCCAGTACCCCTTTCCCTTTACAAAATCTGTTCCATACTCCATTTTCTCCATTTCCTCTATACCCTTTCCACCACCATTCTCTTTTACAGTGTTTTACAACCATTGACGTCTAACACATTTTATCCTAATTTACTCTACAGTATGACCGTATGAACCTTTAATGCCTAGCACATGTTTGTTCTAACCATTAACCGTTTCCTCCTGCAGTGTAGCTCTCCCTTCCTCAAACTCATGCTCTCCAATTGATCTGATCTGAATTATTAACCCCTCCCTCTTTCTTACAAATCCCTGTCATACTCCATTCCCCTCCTCTTACTCTTTTCACTGCCATTCTGTCCTACAACACTCTAACATCTAACAAATTTTATCCCAAACGTTAACATATTTCAACCCTTTCTCACTACAATTCCCATCTATTTTTTTTTTATCCTAGACGTTAACACATTTCAACCTTTTTTCACTAGAGTACTTCACCATTGTGTTATGAGACGTTTAATGTCTAGCACGTTTAAGTCTTCTAACCCTGCCCATTTACCATTCCTCTCCGTATCTTATTATAGTCATCACTTCTATAAGTCACTTATTATAACCATCAGCGTTCTTACAAAAAAAATAGAACTTAGTTTTGTGATAAAATTATATTTTAATTTATTGTTACTGGCATTCATATTGATACTGTAATAATAGGATTTTGATGACAATTGGTACTGGTATTTCTTATTTCTTATTATTATCATTTCTGTGTTTGTACTACATCATCATATGTGTGATCGGTTTTCCTTAAATTGGGTGTAATTCTTATTGTCATTAACAGTAATGAAAATTCTCTCAAAATTCCCATCATAAATGTTTATCACTTCTGTATTTATATAACAGTACATTATGAAATGATATTTTTTTATTACTTTTAGTACCTCATGTCTAGTTACCACCACCACTCCTGTTTTGTTTTTTGTTTTTTTATTGTAACTTTCTTCATTTTGGTAATAATTGATACCAAATAGTTTGTAATAGCTTCTGCATTCTTAATATCAACATTATGTAGTTCGTTATTAGGTGTGCTTTCCATTCACAGGATGAGTTTCCTTGCTGATGGAATGCCTTTGGCCTCAGTTGTGAATGAGGGAATATTAGGCACAGGAATCAGTATCAAAGAAGAGCTCAGCGAAGATATTTCCAAGGATATTTGTTTAGAAATTAAAGAACAGCTCGATTACGCAGATCATGAGAGAGATGAAGTGAGCGACATAAAAGTGAAACACGAGTGTCTTTTCTTTCATAATCTTTATGACCAAAGGCATGAAGCAGATGCAAAGGACTCGTGTGACTTGGTTCAGGATCATAGTGACGTGTTAAGAGTGCCATTAGTGGCTGAGGATTGTTGGAACAACTGTTCACCAGAAGGGGATCAGGCGATACATAAGGAAAGTCTTAGGGATACAGAACCAGACGTGGAACCGACGCAGAAGCGTCTTGTATGCGAGGCGTGCGGCAAGAAATTCTCTAAAAGGAGATATCTCAATATTCACATGAGAGTCCACACAAAGGAGAAGCCCTACAGATGTGATATTTGCGACAAGGGCTTCCCATCCAAAAACAATCTAGTAAAGCATATCAGAGTACATACAAAGGAAAAGCCATACAGCTGTGAAATCTGCAACAAGGCCTTCTCGGAGAAAGGTCCTCTAGTAACGCACATGAGAATACACACAAAGGAGAAGCCGTTCAACTGTGAGATTTGCAACAAGGCCTTCTCACATAAAAATAGTCTTGTTAGGCACACGAGAGTACATACAAAGGAGAAACTATACACCTGTGAGATTTGCAACAAGAACTTCTCACATAGAGATAGTCTAATTAGGCATATGAGTGTGCACGCAAAGGAGAAGCCAGCAGCAGGCGCTCCTGCCGCCATGGTGTAAGCATGGCGGCGGTCCCTGTCTCAGGAATTGTGTATGCTCACAATTTTCTAAGTAATGTACGAGTGTGGCGTTCGGCTCGCCGCAGTGCATGCAATACCTCTCAATAATTGTCTCTATGATCTGCCATGCACAGTGGAAACGTAGGCGCATTCTGTGAGAATGTATTTCAGAGAGTATTTCATTTCTCTTATGAACACATGAAATAACTTAATGAGGTTACACAGTCTCATCTACTTCGTATGGTCACATGGAATTCAGTGCGATTTTAACCGGAATTAGCAAAAATCTACCAGGGATAAATGCTCACGAATGCCCATGTTCGACGATAGTACTGAACTACGGCGCTACTCCCCCACCAACAGTTGCCCCCACCCCCTCTTCGCTGCTCGGTAACTGGTCTGTTGGAAGTGCGCGCACCTTTTCTATAGAATGACATTTGATATACTGACGGAGGAACCTCATGAATAGTTCTCGGATCATCCAAAAATGAAACATATAAGCGGCAGTTATCATTCTCACTGTCAAATCATTATAAAACAAATCGTTATATAACATAGAATGACAATCTTTCTCTGTCGAGATAGTGGCAGGGTATAAAAAGAAGCATGGCTAAAACTTTCCATAAACAATTTTCAAACCACTCAAAGTGAGCATGCATGACCTACGGTGTAAACTAAACTGATTTCCTACAGCAACATGGTGATGGTACAATATCAATCAATCACCGGATGTTTATAAGCGATCCCTTTATATACTGCCCCCCCCCCCCTTTCCCTTTCAGAATAGTTCTGGATCCGCCCCTGGTTGGTGCCCTTCTTTACAAGGCCTATAGTGTATCACCCTTATGCCCCCGAGACCAGATGTCTATAGTGCCTTGTAAAACACCAAAGGCTTATCCCCTCCATAGAATAAACACCACACTCTGTAGCTTCAATAGAAAGTGGAGTTTCACCCAAACTACCATTCCATCTACCATGCAACCATTGGAAAACCCGAATCCATGGTATATAGTGGTCTTCCCAGGTCAGGATTGCCATTCCAATGCTACTACCACAAATCTGGCTGACTATGAAAATGATTTTGATAATTATAATGATTTTAATAAAATGAGGATTTCAATAACAATGGTGAGTTTAATAATGATAACAATCTTAATAATAGTATTTACTTTAATCATAATGCTTTTAATTATAGTGATTTTGATAATGATAATGTTTTGTTGATGATTTTGATAATAAGAACAATTAATTTGATAATAATGATTTTAATAATAGTGATTTTAACAATAATGTTTTGTTGATAATTTTCATAATAAGAATAATTACTTTAATAATAATGATTTTAGTAATAGTGATTCTAATAGTAATAATGCTGTTAATGATTTTGATAATAATAATGATTTTAATAAAATGAGGATTTCAATAACAAAGGTGAGTTTTGAATGATAATGATGGTTTATGAAAAAATAATACAAATAACAATAATAATAATCATAATGATAGTAACATAACAATAAAATTATTATTTGAATAGTGATAATATTAATAATAATGGTTTTAATAATAATGATGTTGATAGAGATAAGGGTTTTAATAATAATAATTTTGATGATAATAATGGTTTTGATAATAATAATAATGGTTTTAAGAATGAATGATAGTGGTTTTAATAATAAGGAGAATTTTAATAATAATAATAATTTTAACTATGATGAATTCAATACTATTAATGAATTTAATAATAATAGTGATTTTAACAATAATAGGGGAAAGTGGGGTAAGATGAGCCACTTTTCAGATTTTTTGACCTGGAACCCTTATCATTTAAACCAGTCGGTCTCTCTCTGCATTAATTTCTACATTAGCTGTTTGCCTCTCAACATGGGAAAAATTTCTTTTATCTGCATACATTTTCGACATTTTTAGGGACTTCAAAGATTTTTCAAAAAGGTTCATCTTACCCCTACTTTTCGGGGTAAGATGAACCGCATCATAAGATAAGAGAATGAAAAGAAATTCTTCTTAAAATCAGGAGATATTTCAAAATTTTATTAGCAAGTATACTTCAATCCTTCCTTTAAGCGAAATTAAGATCTAAACATAACGATTAATGTCCAATAATGCCCATTACTAGAGTTATGACAAATTAAATCTTTTTAAGTCACAGGGGAAAACTAGCTGGTTTGATTTACGTAGACTTCCACGCATATTTTTGGGGGCTGGTAGAACCTTCAATACATCTTGCTTATGGAATGATGCCTCATCACTCTGGTCAATAATAAAAGCCGGTTTCTCTTCTTCAAGCCTATGTCCTGAAGTTTTCTTCATGAAAACTCCCTCTAGCTCATTGCCATCCACAATATCAACTCTTGCGACATATCGTTCTCCATTTGAAGAGGGAATATGCGCTTGGATGCCGATAGTCTTTTGTATCCAGTTTGGATTTCATTATCTGCTTTGCCTCTAGATTTCATGATAAAACGACGCAGTGTGGCTCTGTCAATATCAAAATTGCGTGATACTTCTCTCAAACTAGCACCAGCAATGAATGCATCAGCAGCTCGTTTCATAACATCAAGGGGAACAGCAGCCCGTTGTGTCTTTCTAACATAATTTCGTGGCATCTGAAATCAAATACCACATTAAATACAACTAGAAATTTGCAAAATAATATTAAAAAGCCTGTTGGGGTAAGATGAACCATCTGTTCATCTTACCCCAATTTTAAAGGTTCATCTTACCCCACGACAACCATTTCGAATAAATTAGTTGCCAACACGGTGCTTCGAGTCGAATCGAAATGAAACATGGGCAGAAGAATAGTCAAAAAGTGAACAAGCCTTTAATAGTATAAGATGAAAATAGCACAAATACTTACCACAGTAGTAACTGTTAATTACAATTAACAATATTTCACTTTTTGGTCCAAGATAGAGTCTTTATCACATAAAAACTGATACACTGCAAATAAGAACGTGTAGCTCCGTCAGAGGCCTGTGATGATAGAAGGCCTCGGGAGGATGGCACCACAGGTTTACGAGATTTGTAATGACGTCAGCACAAGAGGTGGTTCATCTTACCCGACGGTTCATCTTACCCCAGTTTCCCCTAATAATTTATTAATAATTTGCTGATTTTGATAATAATGATGACTTTTAATAATGATGATTTTAATAACAATAGTGAATTTAATAATAGTACTGATTTTCATAATGATCGTAATAAAAAAGGATTTCAATAACATTGAGGATTTTAATAATAATAATTTTAATATTAACGATTTAAAAAATATGATTTGAATAGTAATGATGGTTTTAATAATGAAAATTTCATATAATAATGATGATTTTAATCATTATGATGATTTAATGATAATGAATTTAATAACATGGATTTTAGTAAAAATCATTATTTTAGTAATAATTATGATTTTAGTAAAAACATAGATTTTAGTAAAAATCATTATTTCAGTAAAAATCATGATTTTAGTAAATTCATGATTTTAGTAAAAAAAATGATTTTAGTAATAATCGTGATTATAGTAAAAGTCATGATTTAATTAAATTCATGATTTTAGTAAAAATCATGATTTTAGTAAAAGTCACGATTTTAGTAAAAATCATGATTTTAGTAATAATAGTGATAATTATAATGATAAAACTAATTAATTAAATATTACTGATATTATAAGTAATAAGATCAACTTGTTTTCATAAAGTTTGTAGAATGATTTGGAACATCAAGAGTTATTTTTTTCTTTTTTGCGTAAACTTTACCAAATACTTATAATAGTTCATACGCATGAAGAATTTCTATATGATCTAAATTCCCATATTGTCTATCATGTAACAAGACAGGACATAGTCATTTATATTCAAGTCATTTATAAGACAGGACATAGTCATTTATACATTTATATATATGTACATATTTATACATATATATATAGTATCTATAATCATATGTATAATTACATATTTATATATATATATATATAGAGACATATGTATACTTATATATTTATACATATATTTATATACATACAAATACATACAGACATACACGAATATATATAGAGCTATATATGTATATATAAATTATATATATCTACTTATATATATATATATGTATATATAAATATTATAGGTCTATAAATATAAACACTATAGGTCTATAAATATAAACACTAGTATAGGTCTATAAATATATTAAACACTATAGGTTGATTAATATATTAGACACTATAGGTCTATAAATATAAGCACTAAAGGTCTATAAATATAAGCACTAAAGGTCTATAAATATAAACACTATAGGTTTATAAATATATTAAACACTGGTACAGGTCTACAAATGTATTTTCAAAAGGAAATACACCATGCCCTCTGGCAAAGACCAAAGAGCAACATAGAAATGTTAACACACAGATCGGTGAAATTATTCCTTGCACTTAACAAAAAGAAAATGTGCCTAAATGACACGCATGTTAATAATGAAGGGGACTTCCCTCTAATAAATCGGGAAAATTAAATCAATATATGGTTTATTAATGTAATATTTTGATGTAAATCATTAAGAATGTTGATTGAAAAATGTGGTCATCAGAAAAAGATCGGAAACATTTAAGACCCACAAATGCTTAAGTATAACGTATCAATGTATACCAATCATTGTATTAATCATCAAATAATCATATTGGAAACTTTGTATATGATCCACATTAGAGTAGCAGCTGAACCATAATCCAAAATGCCGCAAGACCGTGCGTCTCACCTCCAAGTTCCAGTTCGAGACCACTGGCTCAGCATTATTTACATCTGGCAACTATATCTCGTTATTGTACTATATAATTCCTTAGTATTTTTAGATCATAATATTTATCAATAATAATTATTACAAACTTGAAAAAACTCAAAAATTAATTTATGTGAGGGAATTCAATTATAAAACTACTTTATTTAATATATATTCATACACACACATAGACATACATACACATACATATATATGCATATACTCTCAACCACACACATACATATTTATATAATTAGTAACAGCAGACATGAGTTTACTTGAACAAAAAAAAATCCATGGACACTTAAATACACGTCATAACACATGAAAGCTCATTATGCCGGACAAGAATTACACACCACGTGCACAACATAAATCGGAAAATGATATCCACCAAAATTTCGGGCAATTCTTCCCCAAAAATGTTAAGGGAAAGAGTGCTCCTCTTAGATAAAACATCATGCTCTTCGATGCAGTTCGCGTTGCCCACGAGATGTCTTCTCTGAGTGAAAGCATGTCTCTAAACCTCAGAGATATAAGGTCAAGCGAATATCTGTATGGTTCTGGTTTGTGTGTATTCACCAGTATGACCCACTACATTATACTCTGAGAAAACAAATTCTCAACCTTATCTCTTCTCACCTTCTGTAACAAGGCCTTTGTTTCAAACCTCGCAGAGATGAGCCTTTTCCTTTATTTGTACTACTGTACATCGGTAGGGATTCACCTTTGCATGTACTCTCAACTGGTTCAACAGATTAGCTTTTTATTTTTCCCTGTTGCAAATATCACGTCCTTTTGGCTCCTCTTTTGGGCGTTCTCTCATACTTGGCACCAGGTAACAGTTTCGTGAAAAGATTTTGCATTAGGTAACAGTTTTGTATAAAGATTTTGCATTAGGTAACAGTTTCATGAAAAGCTTCATAGTCCTTACGGCTTCTCTTTTGTGTGTACTCTCATGTGGATAACTAGATTAGATTTATGTGAGAAGGCCTTGTTGCAAACCTCATAGCTGTATGGCTTCTCTTTTGTATGTACTCTCATATGTGTTGCCAGGTGACCTTTTTCTGGGAAGACCTTGCTGCAGTTCTCGCAGCTGTATGGCTTCTCCCTTGTATGTACTTTGATATGCCTTGCTAGAACGTTTTTGGAAGGGAAAGCCTTAAGGCAAATTTCACAGTTGAATGGCTTCTCCTTTGCGTGCACACTCATATGCCTAATTAGACTATCTCTATGTGTGTGTGTGTGTGTATGAGTGTGTGAGTGTGTGTGTACATATGTATATATATCTATATGTATATATATATGTATATATATATGTGTGTGTGTGTGTGTATAGATATAGATATATACATACATATGTATCTCTCTCTTTATATATATATATATATATATATGCATACACACACACACACACATATATATATATATATATATATACATATATATGTATATATATATATATATATATACATATATATATATGTATGTATGTACATATGTATGTGTATGTGTATGAGTGCATATATATAATTTTTGGTATATATTTATTCATGTGTATATATATATATATATATTCATGTATATAAAGATTTATCTATGCACTCACACAGATATATATATATACCGTTTCTCGTTTCTCGTTTCTCGTTACTTATATAGAACTCGTTTTCGCAGTTCAGTTATTACATCACAA